ACCTGAGCGCTGCAATTTTTTTTAGAGAATTAATTGATTGAGGAAATTGTCAGATTGGTCAAAAATTGTCTGATGTATAAAATGTCCAAAAATGGGAAAATGCCAATGGCAACTTCCCGGAGGTTTGTGGAGAAGTGCTGCCAAAGGCTTCTGTGAACCAGACTCGCGGAACAGTCTGGTAGCAGTGCATAGATACTGTATGTCACTCAGTGTGTCAACAATCTTGTGGTGTACTACTCATCTCACACTGTTGCTTAAAGATAGTTTTTAGCTGCTGAAAGATGTCACTGTGGCTGACTCACAGGTTAGAAAGGTCCCATTTCCTGCATTAACTGAGACAGCAAATACAATGAGGATATCAGTGAAGGCCTGGACATATCAAAGCAGGAAGAGGAGGGTGGGGGGAGCCAAGTGAGTTGCTTTGGAGTCTCATGGTGGCTTGAATTCCAGAACTTGCATAAAGTAGCTTTAAGACTGATGTCACCAAACAGCTTGGTTTGTATGGCCAGCAGTCCAAAACCCAGATATACTCAGTTTACTTTCACATATGACCAGAAGAACAACAATGGCAGAAAGAAGTGAGGCTGATATCACCAAACTCCATCCACTGATAAAAATTTAAATCAGCAGCATGGGATTCCAAAGATTGCACTAGGATACAAACTAGTTAAGCAGAGCTCCACCTCAGCCAACTACAACAGTCAGATCCTGCTTTTACATCAGTGTGTGAGTGATAGACTGTTAATGTAATGGTATATAATAGATAATACTACAGCAGTATAGTAAATGTAGTACAATGTTTTTCTGTACTGAGTAGCCTATTTCTACTTTTAATACTTGTCATAATACTTAATATTTCCAATGCAGGACTTTTACTTATAACAAAGTAGGCAACTTTTGCAGTGTATTATTAGTACTTTTATTTCAGTAAAGAAGGTGAATACTTCCTCTGTTAGTATTAACATGCAAACTAACATGCTTTGTTATATAACATGTTATAGTTATATGCTATATGTGCAGTCATGGCCAAAAACATTGGCACCCCTGCATTTCTGTCAGATAACGTGCCTTTTTCTCCCAGAAAATTGTAGCAATCACATTCTTTGGTATTCTCGTGTTTATTTCTTCAGTTTGCATTGGAATGACACAAAAAGCAGAGAAAAAAGCCAAATCTCATCCACTGTACACAGAACTTTATAGCACGGTTAGAGGTCACAAACTTGAAAGGATACTTTAATATAGTCAAAAGACATTATAAAATCTCATCCAACGTTTTGGAAAGTATATTGTGAAGAGAAATATAGGTCAATTTAATGAAATCACACACACTTTGCTGAATCTTTTCAAATGTATTTTTTATGCTATAAAAACTCCTTCCAGGTATAAATATGCAATATTCATTGTTATGTTATGTGCAGTGGTTAGTATTACTTTAAAATATATTTACTACCAGAGATAGATTCGTTGTTGTTTTTTTAAGTGACCTTGAACTTTGGGTGCAGTGATAGTGCAGGCCAGTACTGTAGAGAAGTGTTTATCAAAAGATTTTTACATTATCAGTTTTATTTAGTCTCATCTAATATATTTCCATTTTGTTGCAGGTTCTGGTCCATGGTACAAGGCTGAGACTGAACATACTGGTGGTGCATACAGACTTACTGCTGTGGTGAGTTGTCTACAGTCAGGTTGAGCTGTACAATGGTTCTATTTGTCTAATGACATCATAGACGATGTTTTCTGAGCCTGAAAATGAAAAGGTTGCCTGGATTTTGTAGTTTATTCTTTTACAACAAAGGCTCTTGAATAACCTGTTATTAGTTCCTTGCTGATTTTGGTCCTTGTAGCTTGATGTTTGCTTTGTTGTTCATTCTCAGGAAAAGTAGCATCTCCCTTTTACAAAACCTACCTCCTTGGTGGTGTTCCCAGGAGGCTACATTTTTAATTGCTTGTGAGTGGTTTCTTTGTCTGAGATGCCGAGTAGTTGTCGGCTAACAAATTAGAGGGCTCCCGTAGGTGCTGGGTTTTCAGCGATATCACAGGAACGCAGCAGGTATGAGGTAATTCTAGAAAAATATCATGTTGCAGGATTTAAATAAAAAGCAAAGGGACAGGTCACCTCTACAGTCTAATGCAGTTATTGTTTTACCAAGAATAATGCAGAAAAGGAATGTGTTGTTGACTGAGGGCATTTTCAGATAAGCTCGTTTGCTTCCGTCCAAATCAGTGGCTTATCAGGTTTTTTATTGGCTTTGTTTCTTTTCATACAGAAAAAAAAAAATCAGGTGACCCAAAACACATTTAATCTGTCCAAATATCATCAAAGCAATGTCCAGGTCAGTCAGGAATCATTCTCTAGCTCGCCCTTCAAACTGCTCTAGGGTTGACATAATGATTTTCATTACAGATTAGTCTATCCATTAGCAATTTTCTTGATTAAGTAATCACTTGTTTGGTCCATAAAATGGTAAAAACACATTTAAAAAAAGCCTGTCACAAATTTCTCTGTAACTGGACTTCCTCTCAAAGGTCTCAGGACAGTTGGTTTGTTCCATGGTCAGATATGATGGCTGTGTGAAGAGACTCTCAATGTGTTTGTAAAGCAACAGGAAATACAAAATAACAATGACAGTTTTGTTGTAGTAAACAACATAGATGTGAAAATGATGTGAAAGTTGATTAATGGTCTATGTAATACATGAGTAGTATTGTTAATGTCACTGCTTCCCCACATTCTGACCACATTTTCCATAAACCCAGCTGACCTTTGTGACCCTCCCCCTCCCTGGCCTCTTATTTTAATGTGAACAAACGTGTTAGAAGTGAATTCTTTTTTAGACTTAACTGTGATTGCCAGAAAGGTTGACAGCTTCAGTTTGACTTCCATTGAAAGAAAAGCTCGCACTTCCTGTTTTGTACTCTTCAAGTTCATGTGAGCTCTAACCAGAAGCACATAATGCTACACTTGGCCAGGACTCATAGAACCTGTCAGACTCCTTAGGGATGTCCGTGTTTGTTTACATTTCAGTACCCAAGGACATTCCGCCTGACTTGCTGACATTGTTCATTTGGTTGTCTGGTTGAACCCAGATGCTGTGCTGTGACAGCTACACTACTGCTCTCTCCCAGTTTGGCAACTAGCTGAGTTAATGTCAGGTCAGCATTATTGCAATTCTTTGTTTTTCTCACTGTAGAGCCCTCAGCTCTGCTTGTTTATTTCAGTCATGCTGAAATATTTCAGCAGTGTAGTCCTTAGTCATCCAGTGTGGTTTTTTTTTTTTTTTTTTTTTTTTTTTTTTTTTTTACATGCATAGCCTATAAGCACTTGTGCATGGTTTTCATTCGACTCAGCACCAGAGACCAAGTACCAAGTCATTCTGTATGGCAGAGGAGCTAATTTTCTACTGGGATAATAATGTGTGACCAAAAGATAATTTTACAGATAATTTTATTTGAGGCGAATTAACTGTGATGTCAGAGGAGCACATTGATCTGTGTTGTGCGATCTATTTATTTATTTAATTTTTTGTCCAGTGTTGTTTTTGTGCTGAGCATGACATGTTGCCCAGCTTGCTTTGTTGTTACAGAGTAGCTCTATACTGAGCAGTTATTGACTTTGAATCAGAGCTCTTGAGGCCAGGAGTTAAAGACAAACAACACACCCAATTTGTTTGTGCCCTGCAGAAACCTTTCACTAGCAACTTTGCTTTTAATTTCACACTGTCTTCTTGTACTGTTTCACAAGTATAAAATGTCTTTCATGACCTCAGGAGCAGCACAAAATAACATGAATGGCAGAACAACATTACAGAGCCTGGTTTTAGGAGACTGTTGGCAGGGTTTCACTTCTTGTCTGAATTGTGAACAGTCTTTATAATACATGGCTTGAGATTCTTGACTGTTTTTTGTGTCTTTAATGGATGTAGTTGTGTGGAACAGTGTGTTGCTCCCACATGGCTGTTGCATGAAACAAGAGAAGAAAGAAGGCTTTGTGATTCAGCCCACAGTATTGATTTGTGCAGCAGTTTGCCTAGAAATTAGTTTGCACACTACACCTTTTGCAGAATGTGCTGCAGTTCTCAAGATACACCTCAAATATTTCAGACACTTCTCTGCTAGCATGTCATAAAGGAAGTCAGAAATTCCATACGTCTTGCAAAGGGCCTGGTTAACCCTGATGCTCAAAGATAAAGTAAATAGAGAGATAGAACATGAGATAATCTCAGTGCCTGCAGTCCATGTGTCGAAGTGTCCTTGGGCAAGACACTGAACCCCCCGTTGCCCCCGATGGTTAGAGCCATCGGTTGAGCCACAGATGGCTGCCTCGGTTCTGTACCAGAAACAAATTCCTTGTATGTAACATACTTGGCCAATAAAGGTGATTATCCTTATCCTATTATCCTTAAGTACCTACAAGGTTTAGGTAATAGAATGTAAGTTTAGATTTGTAAGCTCTGTTTTCTTTTGTCCAAATCGGTCGCAAAGATACAGAATGATACATCTTAGACCTCAGGAAGAGCCATGTAATTTAGCTACCATTAAAAACAATTTCAATTGCACTTATGGTTGGGATGTACAGTGCATTTTGTCATTTATGTCTGTTTAAACAAAGTAATAATAACATTTGGAGGAGGAGTTCAAGTGTCTTGGGGTCTTGTTCACGAGTGAGGGAAGGATGGAACGGGAGATTGACAGGCGGATTGGTGCAGCTTCTGCAGTAATGCGGTCGGTGTACCGGTCCATCATGGTGAAGAAGGAGCTGAGCTGTAAGGCGAAGCTCTCAATTTACTGGTCGATCTACGTTCCGACTCTCACCTATGGTCATGAGCTTTGGCTCATGACTTTGGTTCATGACCATAAGGGCAAGATCACAGATACAGGCGGCCGAAATGAGCTTCCTCTGCAGGGTGGCCGGGCACACCCTTAGAGATAGGGTGAGGAGCTCGGTCACCCGGGAGGAGCTCAGAGTAGAACCGCTGCTCCTCCACATCTAGAGGAGCCAGCTGAAGTGGCTCGGGCATCTGTTTCAGATGCCTCCTGGACGCCTTCCTAGGTTGGTGTGCCTGGGCATCGGGGAGGAGCCCCGGGGGAAGCCCCAGGACATGCTGGGGGGACTATGTCTCTCGGCTGGCCTGGGAACGCCCCGGCATTCCCCTGGAGGAGCTGGAGGAAGTGTCTGGAGAGAGGGAGGTCTGGGCATCTTTGCTTAGACTGCTGCCCCCGCAACCCGGTTCCGGATAAGCGGAGGAAAATCGATGGATGGATAATAACATTTGATTTTGGTGACTTACAGCTGTAATAGTTGACATATAGCCTAGACTGTCAGAAAATGAACACGGTTATGCCCTAGTTTACCAGCAAGCTTCTCCTGTCAGTTAACCACAGCACATTACTCTGCATTTGATGTGTGCCAGCTTGCATTACGAACAATTCCTTTTATTTCTAATTCCTCACTGAGATGTTTATTCATGCACATTTTTGTTAGCTTCCTAGTCCCGTTTGGATGGATGCATGTCGCAGAAACAGTCGGTAAAAGGCTGTGCCTTGCTTTTTAACAGAGATAGTTAAACAAACCAGACTCAGATAACATTAGGCTATACAAAACCAGCCACGTCGTTGTGACAGCCTTTTCTCTTCTAAAGTATGCCACGAGGTTTGAAAAACTTGATGGTACATCCATGGATTGGACAGTGTCACCAGTGAAGTGATAATTCCCCTGAGGACAGGGGGAAGTACTGAGCAAATTGGTACATCAAAATGAGTAGAAGAAGATGACAAACCACCATCTAGGGCTGTCTTTTCTTCTAATGCACACTGGCTGACAAAAAGTAAAATATAATAAAATCAAAACAAAGGCTCAACTAGAAGAGTCTCAGTCGAGTGATGGGTCTCTCGACCAATGACTTGACTATTTGACTGTTAGGGGGCAGACCTAGCAATAGCCATGTCTCAGAAGAAAAAAATTGCCTCTAAGATCATTCCTTCAACAGAAATACAAGTGTGGTGTCTGTCTCATTATTCCAACAAATCCATATGGCAGCCTGACATTGTATATAATCAATTTAAATAGGTACAACTCAACTATTGCATCATATGCAGCTGTCTTTTTATTGATTTGTTTTAATGCTCATAAATGTTTTGTCACTCTTTTGCATTTGATTACCTTTAATGTAGTTGAAATCAGTTTATGATAGAGAGAGAGAGAGAGAGAGAGAGAGAGAGAGAAAATTCCCCAATCGCCCCCCACTTTGGGGCGGTCTTGTATTCCTTCCTTCAAGCTTGGGTCCTCTACCAGAGGCCTGGGAGCTTGAGGGTCCTTTGCTATCACTTGTGATTGCTACATCTATCACTACGGCCTTCTTCCTCTGCTTGTCCACCACTACTATGTCCGGTTGGTTGGTCATTACCAGTTTGTCAGCTTGTATCTGGAAGTCCTACAGGATCTTAGCTTGGTCATTCTCAACCACCTTTGGAGGTGCTTCCCATTTTGACTTTGGGACTTCCAGCCTGTACTTGGCACAGATGTTTCTGTACACTATGCCAGCCACTTGGTTATGGCGTTCCATGTATGCCCTGCCTGCTAGCATATTGCACCCCGCTGTTATGTGCTGGATTGTCTCAGGGGCATCTTTGCACAGCCTGCACCTGGGGTCCTGTCTGGTATGGTAG